GCCACCTTTGTAACGCCCAAGCCCCGTTGGCGACTGGAATCTCCAGGACGTCTGGTTGACCTTGACAGACTACAACCGGCTGGCGAAGTACGTGCCAAACCTGACCGAGAGCAAGTTGAGGCCCAGCAACGACGGCGGGATCCGACTGTGGCAAGAAGGGGCCCAAAAAATCGTGGGGTTCGACTTCAGGGCGTCCGTGGAGATGTTCATGGAGGAGCACTTCGGTAAGGGCCAGGGTTATGGTTCATAGAGGGCGAGATTTACTTAACTCTCCTCACTGAAAAAGCGTTTTTGTGGATGCCATGCTTTGCTGTTCCGGTTGTCGTTGATGTCAATATATCGGCGTCGGCTGGTGTGTGGTTTCTGTCTTTTTTGGAAGAAATAGAAGAGAGTCCCCCGCGTATTACGTTGGGTTTCGTTCTCCCCGCTTCAGAAAAGCGTTGTTGTCGACTCACACACCGTTTATGCGGGTTGGGCTCACGCGCCTTTCGGTTTTTGCCCCGGATCAGTCGGCCCACAAAGTGATCGTCGGTGCCTGCTTTGCGACCGTCATCTCCTTTTGCGCGTTGATACCTCGTGTAGCGCGGTGCTTCTAAAGATGATTTTATGATAGAAGTAAGCGTGCGATGGGCCGTGTCTTCATCGTTCGAAAGGAGGGATCCTTGGTGTCGTGGTGTCGGAAAAAGGAAGGTCCTGGTGGCGGTTCCCAAGCCTCACTCTGGTCTTGCCTGTATTTAGTTTTCATGCTTTTTTTTTTTCCGAAACAGGTGACCCGGAGAATAAGATGGCGCAGCGGAAATTGACGTTCGGGTTGCTCGAGTCGCGAATGTTCAATGAATTCGACGGGGAGTGGCGAATGCAGTTCAACAGCCGCAAGGTGTGTGTGTGTGTGGTTTGGTGTACCTCAAAGGCGTGTGTGCGCGTCTATTGGGGAGGGGCGGGACGTTTGTGCCGATTGTCAGCGGCGCGTCGTGTGTGTTTTGTTTTGATACGCATCGGAGAGCGTGTCATGTGTTCCCGAACCGAATTTTTCGTAACTGTTTGCCCCGCGGGGGAACGTTCGCCTCGAACCACTCGAAACGGTGCGTAAGGGTTGATGCTATCCAAGACGAGCCAAGGCAGCACGGCTGCACGACTACGGTATATGTTTGTGAGTGGTTCAACGCCCGCGAGGTGTGTCTCGTGCGCGTGCACTCTGCTCCCCTCTTTCGCGAGGCGACACCATCACTTTCCCGACACCTCTCTCTCTCTCCCTCTTGGTTCCTCACGCGTTTTGGAAAACGAGCAGCAATTCAACACAGCTCAGGGGCCACAGTACCAGTACACGACCAAGCTGTTCTACATGGTGCACATCAGGCCCAAGGGCCCTGTGCCAGTGCTCGCGTTGGAGTGGCAGATTTCGAATGAGGTGCCGAACAATCTGTCCGCTCTCAAGCTGGCCGCAGAGGCGGTGACGCCGGAGTACGTTGAGGTGAGCAGGAAGACCAGCACTGTGTGAAGAGGACTGAAGAAGTTGGCGTGTTGTGTGCTGTTTCGTTCATTCAGAGGGTGGCCGATGGTCGACGGGAGGCGGGGGGTCCCTGATAGCTAAAGGCCGGTCGGAGTAGATTGAGCCTCAGCAGGATTCAGATTCCGAGGGCTGGCGTCTTGGATTGTTGAGCGGTGTGGTATGACTCACAACGTCTCTGTCAACCGCTGTCTAGACTGCAGGGCCTTCTACCGTGGGAGATCCCTGAGTTCACGCCGTGGTGGTACGGGTATGTTATTTTAGTGGGTGCTTCCCGGCCTTGATCTGTGTGCGCCCTCCCCGCCCCCACCGAAGCTCCTGCACTTGTGTAGCCCATGCCCTCCGTTCAACCCGATGCCGCGCGAGGTATTGGCGTTGGTATCGCGTTTCGAGCACTCCATTGGGTACGGGTTGTAGCATGGCTTGTTTGATCACTGGCCACTACGTGGCCACAGCCGATACGCCTTTTACTGTCAGGCCGATTTTCTATCAACAGCAAGTGAAACCTTTCCCGAAATCCCCTTCCCCCGCACCCTCCCCCAATCAGATGCGAAGAAAGGAGCGCGAGCAGGAGGCTGCAAAGCGATTCGCGTCTCCGCCACCGGCGGACGATCGCGAGAAGAGGCAAGCTAACGCAATCGCGAAGGGCGGCGCGGAGGCGTTTGTTGCCAAGGGGAACGGGGACGAAGGCTACGGCCAGCCCGAGTGGGAGTCGGACGAAACTCTCGAGGCGTATCTCAACACGATGTCATAAGAGCGGTGCATTGGAGGGGTAGAGTACGAACCTCCAGGGGTAGGGTACCTCCCAATGTCCTCGCCGGGGGTGTGGTGGGCGTGTCGCGTTCGACGGGAAAGTGGTTCAGTGGTTCAGGGGAGAGTGGGGGGGTGGGG